GCCCCAAGAACCTGTCCCAAAGTTGGAGTGACCAACCTGGGTCATCTGAGTAGGTAACAGATTCTGGGTTCATCGTTGCATTGAAACGTCTTCTCTCCAAGAGGCAGAGCTTAGAGACAAACAAGCCAAATACTGATTTTCCTGGGGATCTGCACTTGCCACCGGATATCTGCTCCCATGAAGCTCTGGGGCAAGGGCTGATAATGGTGGGCTGGAAGCACTTGGCTGGGTTAAAACCAAGACAGCAAAAAATCAGAAGAAACGAAGCTTCCTCCCTCCCTCCTTTCATCTTTGGCTCACACCCATCCCACCTAGATGGCTGACCTCCTCCACTTCTAGGAGGCTCACTGACGATCGGTTTTTGCTTTGATGTTGTAAATATAGCCCTTTTCTAAACAGGCACCGTGATGCAGAGAAAGGGCCTCCTGAAGTCCCACAGTGGTGAATAATTTGCATAGTGTTACAGAATTTGCATACAGATATGCAGTATTTGGGGCACTGGAGTGTTCTGATGGGCCAACCCAGATAGCTGGCCTCCTGAGTACCTTCTAGCCAACAGATGGTAGAAGCACATGAGACCAGCAGGGTAAAACCGTTGTGGAAACTTGTCACACAGGGAAAATACATGTTATGATAATGAACTAAAAAAATCAGGATATGAAATATCAGAGCAAGCAAGCAAGCAAGCAAAAAAATCTCAATAAACCCCACAATAACAACTGTGGCTGCCAGCACATTGGGATGCTTCCTTCTAGGTTTCTACAATGAACCTCTGCTCCTTTATTCAGGGGGTGAAAAGTTCAAAAGCCTGCCCATCCAGAGGTGCATTATAAAGCATGGTTCAGGGAGTGGCAAGTCAGTTTAATCATGACTTTACTCTCTGGCGTTAATGCCAGGTGGAAAAGACAGGACCTGAAAAGGTCAAGATATATACTCCTTGATGTGTCCCCTTGTCTTCCAGGGCCCTCGGCATTTACTCCTTCTGGACATGTCACTGAGGATGCCTCCAAAATACCTGCCCGTGGGGAGTGTGGAGAGGAAGGGGCTCCTGAGAGGAGAGGGCTCTGGTTCTTAATTTTTTTTTAAAACCATTCTCAGAATCATTCAAGACAGAATGGGAAATCTGCGTTCTAGCCTTAGGTGTGAGCTCAGGCAAACTTCCTCCCTTCCCTGGGCCTCAGTTTCCCCATTTGTAAAACAAGCAGTATGGACTTTCTCATGGCCAAGGTTCCTTCTGGCTCCACTATTTTAAGAGTGAAAGGGACCAGCATTCATGTCAAAGGGCTGCTAGTCTGATAAATCTAGGGCACAAGAGAATAAGGAGACTTGGCTGCTTAGTCCTAGGAAAAACACTGCATAGAAGGCTGGGCCATCCCAGATGTCTTGAGATGCAGGTTCAGGCTCAGGGGACGGAGGAGCTGAGAATTAGCTTGAGGCCTCAGCAAGGGAGAGAGCTCAGCAGGGACCCTCAGAGCCACTGCTGGCCAGTGTGTGGCATTCTGGGAGGGGCGGGGCAGTCTGGCCTGACTCTGGAAAATACCAAGTTACCTGTTTCCGTGGGGAGTCAGAGGTCCTGGGAAGGGCAGTGCTGCACCAAGGGCTCAGCCTGGGAGGTGGGAGAAAGAAACGCCACCAGGCGGGGCTGGGCCACCTGTCTGGGCTGGAGAGGAGCAAGACTATGCAGCAGCCGGCAAGATAGAGACATTGAGAAATCACCAAACCTGGACCAACCTGGGGCCTCAAACAACTCTGACCTGAATGTGGCCAGACCTCCCAGGATAATGCTGAGGATGCTGCAGGGGCAGGAGGCTAGGATCCAGTCCCACTTCTGCTGCACAGCATGCCCTTGGGTAAGTCCCTTCCCCTTCTCTGAGTTTCATTTGTCAAGTGAGAGTGGCCCCTCTCACCACAGGCCCTCCAGTGGCAGGTGAAAGACTGTGTGTGGTTCACCTCCAAGCAAGGGGAGACTGGTAACACGAAGGGTACTCTTACTGCTGTCGATTGCAGGAAGGACTCCTCCAAGCTTCAGAGCAGACACAACAAAAGTGAAAGCAAAAGCCAGCAGCCAGAGGCCGACAGATCCCATTCCCTTCAGCACATCCCCAGTCAGAAGGCATCTGAGCTTCTGGAAGATTTTCCACACTTAGGGAGAAAACCCTTCCCAGTCTCTGGAATTCCACCTGCATTTGGAGTTGGGGGAAGAGAAGCAAAGAGCCAAAGCCCCTCACACTCCAGCCTCTTCCAGCCCAAGAGCTCTCAGGGGTTTACTGCCAGCCCCTCAGAGGGATGGATGAACACTTACCAGAGCCATGGCCCACTAAACAGGAGCCCCAGAAGGGGCAGGCTGCTCAGCGCCAATGTCAACAGGAGCCATGCTGTTGGCTCTTCCTCCAGCATTGCCATTCCTCACACAGAGAAACTTCTGGGCCTGTGACTTCTAGAGCTAGAAAGCCACAGCTGGGGGGCTTGGGCCCTGCCAGAGTCCCAGGCACTTGCCCCCTCTCTCTGGCAGAAGACAGGCCGGCAGTTAGGGTTCACAGCAAATCCACAAATCTCACCCTGGACCAGTGGTTTTGTGTTAGGACCACATGTTAACCTCTGCTTCCTGTGAGACACTCCAGTGCAGCCCCGCCTTTTCATTCCCATTGCCCCCAGCCTGTGGGCCAGCCTTCTCTCCCCTAGCAGCCTTCCCCAAACTCCCATCCAACTTCCAGGCAACCAGAATGTCTTCCTTTTGTTATCAATAGGATCAAATGACTTCCCTGACTAAAAGAACTCAAGTGGAATTTGTGTCTTTCTTCATCACCTATTGGGAGCCCCTAGAACAGTGCCCGGACCACAGAAGGCACTCAGACAACATCTGTTAAAGGGTTCCATGATGGGCTATATGATAAAGTCCCACCTGCAAGGAACTGGCCCTCTTACCCAGTCCAGCACATTCCAGACCCTCCACTCCCTTCACTGTCTCCAGCTCCCACAAACCCACCCGCCACTACCTGAGTAGCATCCCCTCCCACAGAAGCCCCCAGACCTCTACACCTCCATACCTTTTGCCTATGCTGTCCCATCGTCCCCCTGCCCCAGACACCAATACACTGGTTAATATTCCAGCATTCTTTTCTTAGCAGGACCTCTTGGCTTGAGTTATTTTCTTTCTTTTGCTGTCCTCAACGCCCTCAACACAGCTCCCTACAGAGCACCTGCTATGTGCTAGACACTTCCCCCGAGGTGGAGGTCCTGCAGCCAGGGAGTGCTGGGGCCTGACTAAATCTGGGACTCTTGTCATTTACTATTCTCTAGGCTGAGCGCTCCGGGAGGCCCCTTGGCTCTGTACTATTGCTGGGGCAGCCCAGCCCTGCCTGATGCCACCGAGGCCCTTGTCATCCAACCTCTGCCAGCTCAGGACATCCTGAGGATGCAACCGAGCCTCCTTCCTTTCCTCTCTCTTCTGCCTTTTCTCAAAGTCCAGGCGGTACCTCTGGCAAGCTGGGGAGGGAAATATTTGGAGGAAAAGGGGTTCCCTCCCAATTCCCTGTGGCCCTATCAACTTAGATCGAGATCCTGTGTGACAAGTCTCCAAGCGTGCAAGTGTCCGCAGGTCCCAGAGCCGAGGGCTCTGAAGCCATCCACCTAGAAGCCACCCTGGAAGTACTCTCGCAAAACCAAAGCCAGGAGCCAGCCCTGGAGGGCAATCCCTCCCCAGCCTTGCGTCCAGGCTGGCTCTGGACCCGCCCACCCCGCGTCCACCGGTTCCCAGCGCCAGGACCACCGATCCAGCTGCGTAGGGCCAGCTCGGGCCACAAGTGCTCCGGCGAGCGTTGCACAGGTACCGAACGGCTGCCACCGGCCGGGAGTGGGGGGGCCCTAGAGGGGTTGAGGGAGGCTTAGGGACTTCCAGGTCCCCCCAGCCTTCGGCTAGGAAAGATTTCTGTCTATAAATGACCATCCTCTTAATCAGACTTGGCGCTCCCGGACACACGCCTCCCGTCAAGGCAGAGACTGGAAATCTGATCTGGATTTTGAGTACTTGCTACGTGCTAGGCATGAGCGCTCCACCTCCCCCAGGAGGTTTTCCCGTTTTACAGTAAAGAAACTGAGTTTCACCCCACTCTGACCCAGCTCAATTCCTCACCCTTTTGCTTCTAGTACGTAAAAACAAAGACACACGAATCTACACCTAAATTTATATTTGCAGAAGGGAATAAGGGATGGGTGGGGTCGGGGGGGGAGGGAAGGGCCCATGCTGGCCGAGCCGGAGCGGTTTCCGGGCACCTACTGGGAAGTTCTACTCTAAGTCGAGGCCAAGGGTTCAAAATCCCGCAGGCGGATCGCACCTGTCCCCGCCAACAGAGGGCCTCCCCGGAGGCCGGCTGCCGTCCCCCAGCCGACGCTAGCTGGCCCGGCGCGATGCACGGGAGGTGGGGGTGTCCCGTACTGGCGGGGTGAGGCTCCAGAGGGTGCGGGTGCTGAGTCCTCCCGGCGGCAGACCTGGGCAGGAAGTCCTGGGACGGACGGACCGACAGACCCAGACAGCCCTCGACTCCCCCGCCCTCCCGGCCCCACCGGGAGCCGACAGTCCCTCCGCGGGGCGCGGCGGCGCAGACTCACCGGGGCGGCGGCGGGTCCGGCTTGGTCTTGGACGGACGGCCGGGTAATGGGGGCTCCACGACCCCGGCCGCGCGGACTGTTTCCTCCAGGGCTTGTGACCCGGGGCTGGGGGCACGGGAAAGTCTCGACCGAGGGAGGCGGTGGCGAAGTGGGTACCGCCCGCCCCGGGACCGGGATGGCACGTAGGAAGCGCGGCCTCGGAGCGCCGGCGTGCGGGAGGGAGGACGGCGAGGGGCGGAGCGCGGCGCCTGCCCCGGGAGGACACGGGCCCCGAGAGGCACCGCCCACCAGCCGACCCTCCCCCTCGGTCCTCGGCACCACCCCGTGGCCAGGGGCGCGGGATCCGAGCTGCGGAGGGCGGGCACCCGCTCGCTTGCGTCGGCTGATCGGAGTGCGGGGTGGGGACGCTGGGCCCTAGCGCTCCCCAGTCCTCCGCCCCACGGAGGTGGCCTCGCTCGGGTCTGGGAGGGAACCGAGACCTGGACCCTCCCCCACCCCCTCCGCCAGGGCCGAGGTATTGAAAGTGGGGGGTGGGGGGATGCGGGGGTGCTGAGGCTTAATGGGGGAGGTGTCCCGGGCCGAGAGTCCTGGGTATTTATGTGTTAAGTGGAACTGGGTGACTCCACGCCTTCTCACCCCAGGCGTGAGAGTAGTGTCTTAGCACTACTGAGCCAACCGCGGCCCCTTCACCTGGCCGGGCACTCACCTGGCCGCCCGGTGCACTGGCCTCTCTCGCCACTTCCTGGGGAGGCCACCGCCTCCCTCTCCACCCTTGGACGCACTCAGGGCGCTGGGGCCCGCCTGCAGCGCCCAGGGCTGGTGCCCTGCTTGGTGACTGGTGGGCGGAGGTAGGAAAGGAGGAAGCGAGATTTTAAAAAGCGAGTCAGTTCTTGCCCTTGACCCAGCCCCACACCTCCTGTCGGGTCTCCTGCGTACCCTCCGGTTCGCACGGCCGGGCCTCCGCTGGGGTGGAGCCCATTCCGGGTGCCCTCGCCCACGCAAAGGGATGGGGGCGCCCTGGCCCTAGAGTCTCTCCTGCTGGGGGCCCAATTCCAGATTTGCTGAGAACTTTCCCAACGAAGCACCGGTTGTCACTTCGACCGACTGGGTTGCAGGCAGGTGGCCCGCCTCTGGTCATAGCCCCGGAGCTGCTGCCCATGGCCTGGCTCTGGGAAGGCTAACCTGAGCCAGTGAGGGTGCCTCTTACCTGCGGCCTTTTGCCTGGAGGTTTGCTCTGGAATCCTGCCGCTCTGGCGCCCAAATTCAGTGGATTGATCTCAGCCAGACCACAAAAACCCTGGAGAAAGTAGCCTGCCTGCTCTCTCAATTTTAGATTGTTTTGAATTCCAAGAAAGGTCAAGCTGGGGTCCCCTTCTCGGGTGAGTGTCCAGCCCTTTGAAGTTCAAACCCTGAGAAAAGCTGATAGACAGCTGGGGGAGTGTCAGAGACTGGAGCTGAGCACAGAAGGCGCCTCCTCCTGAGAATCTGCCATTTCCAGGATGGAAATTAGAAACCCCCTCACCCCTGGTGGAATTGTCAATCCAGTTCACCTCCAAACAGCAACTTCATGTGTACACATGGTCCCCATGTATGTGCACTTACAGAGTTGTCCATGTGGGTGTTTTTTTGCCATTGTTGCTTCTTTACTGGCACAACAACAGTTCAGCAGGACCCTGGTGTCCACAAAAAGGCAAAGTTGGGGCAGTCCTGTGATTTGGGGTGGGGAAGGCATTTGGGGAAACAGTGATGGGTAACCAGCATAAGGATAACTGCTATTCCTCACTCCCTTACTATGGACCAATCTCCAGGTTGCCACCCACTTCCCATCCCGTTTAATCCCCCTAACGCTGGAAACAGTTAGTGGTTACACCCACTTTACAGAAGACAAAGCTGAGGCTTAAGGAGGTGGCGTCATTTGCCCAAGGTCACACAGCTGGGACCTGTAGGAGCTAGATGCAAGCTGGTTGGCTGCAGAGTCTGTGCTCTCCCTGATATAGAATACTTCTTCATCTGTCTGCACACACCCGACCCTGGGCAGGTTCCCACTTCTCCTGTTTTCTTCTGTCTCTTCAGGAAGAGAAGTCACCTTTGTCCCACTTGCTGCACAGTGTTGTAATTCTTTTATGAATCTGCTTCCCACCCTCCTTGAGTACAAGGACCCCTGTGCCCCTCCTGCTTTGCTTTGCCCCCAGCGGGTGCTTGATAAATATTTGTTGAATGAATGAAAGCCCCAAGTAGTAATCATTATTTTAGTGAATACGGACAACCCTTTGTGCAGACAGTTACCTGTGATGACACGCTCCCATTGGAGAGCTGTGTGTTCCATTGCAAAATTCAGACAGTAAATTTGGGAACGTTCCAGGCTCCAAAGGAGTGATGGAAATAGTCACGTAGATCTCAGATAAGACTAGGAATCTGGTTTCCATTTCCCTCCTCAAGACCAACTTTGGAGCGGCCTGGGCTGGGGATAATCATTTCAGACAGCTACTCCAGCTCCTACCTGGAGTCGAAGTGTCTCAGTACTTTTCCACGCCAGGATCCAACTCCAGATCTGCCCTGCTCTGCTGCAGACCCACCCGGGCAGGTCTCATCTATCCCAGAGAATTGACTTCAGAGTGTTCCTTTTAGGCAGGCTCACCCTGGCTGATGGGGAGGCGCTGGAGAAATTCCCGTGCAAAGCCGAGCTACATGTAAAACTCAAAACCTGGCAGAGGAAGCACATTTCTCCTTGTCTGCCTCCCCTTCAGTGCCCTTTCCCTCTATGAGGTCAGTTTCTCCGACTCTTCCCAGGAGTTTCTCTAGGTCCCAGGGAGGAGACTGACTTACAATTGCCAATTTATCTCACTAAGTATCAGCTGACAGGGGCCTGAGATGTGTCCTTAGGGAGAGCCAAAAAAATAAATCTCGAATATGGAGTTTTTGTTATATGTTATCATAATAGGTAGCAGGGAAGATAACAGCTGCCATTTACTGAGTCCTGTTTCAGATACTCTGCAGACATTGTATTATTTAATCCTCACAACAGCCTGAGAAGGACAATTCTGTTATTCCAGTTTTTCAGGTGAGGCTAAACTGAGACTCAGAGAAGTTACATACCTGTATCTGACAGCACATAGAGTCAGGATTTGACCCAAGGTCAAACTCTTGCTCTGAACCACTATGCTGGGAACTCTCTGTGTAGCAGGCAGAGTAATGCTGCCCAGTAATGTTCACATCCCTAATTCCCAGAGCCTGGGAATATGTTACTTTACATGGCAAAGGGAAAGTTGCAGTTATGATTAAATTAAGGATCTTGACAATGGAAGTTATCCTGAATGACCCTGGTGGATCCAATGTAGTCACAGGGGTCCCCATAAGAGGGAGGAGGGAGGGTCAGAGTCAGAGGAGATGTGACAGTGGAAGCAGAGATCAGAGTGAAGTGGTTGCTGGATGGTGCCATGAGCCAAGGCCTGTGGGCAGCTTCTAGAACCTGGAGGTCAGGCATGGCTTCTCCCCTAGATGCTTCAGAAGGAGCACAGCTTTGCTGACATCTTAATTGTAGCTAGTGAGACAGACTTTGAACTTCTGGCTTCCAGAATTGTGAGATCATAAACCTGTGTTGTTCTAAGCCATGACCTTTGTGGTAATTTGTCACAAGAGCAATAGGAAACCAACACATCCTGCAAACTCAGCCATGTAGGCAGATGTTTATTTCACCCACCTTTTCAGCTAACTGTCCACCATAAATTCCTTTTCATAAGAGGCACCATGATAGAGTCTGCATCATGGATATAGAAAGAAGGCAGGATTTCATTCGGTCTGTCTTTTGGTTTCTGAATCCTCTACCACTTTGGTTTCTGAATAATCTGGTCACTGTGTGATCTTAGGCAGATGTCTTATCCTTTCTGAGCCTCAATTTCCTCACTGTAAAAAAAGTGATGCTAATAATAGCTACTTCTCAGGATCAATACAAGGATGGGGTGAAACAGAATATGACAAAGTATCTTATAAATGGTCCAGTGTCATTTGCACATGAGTTGCTCAAGGCATTAGCCTGTCCAATTCTGAAAGTCTGGATTCTAAGACGAGGGATCAAGCATTCCCCTGGCATGCATTTTTTTTTTCTCTTGCTGAGTAGGCATGTAACTGATTTAAAATATGAGACTGTCTTCTTGGTAACTAGACCTCTATCAATTATGAAGTAAAACTGGAAAATCTACTTAGAGGAATACAGCTTCATGCAGAACTCACAAGGGTGCTCACGAGCATGTGTCCAAGGATTTTCATTGCTGATTGTTTGTTGACAGTGAAAATTTGTTACCAGCCTAAATGCCACCAGGGGGAGATATGCTAAACAAATTCTGGTGTGGGCTCATGGGGGGAATACTATGAGGTCATGAGACAAGAGGTAGAACCCTGACAGGGGAGCATCTCCAACATGCAGCACTAAATGAGAGAGGCGACGAACAAAGAATTATGATGCTCCAGGGCTTTTAAAGAGATGTAGCCAAATATGTATGTGATTATGCCGAGAAATTGTATAGAAAGAATCAAAAACCTGTGGTTACCCTTAGACATCAAGAAAAGGTGCGTATGTGTGTGTGTGAAAGAGGAAGGTAATTTTTAAAAATAAGAATGTGTTAAATTAATAATAAAGAAGAAAGAAAAGGAAGCCAGGAGCCCCCTGTATTGTCCACCAGAAGCACACACCCTCCTTTGTCTCCCCCTACCGGGTCTCTCCCTTCCTTGCTCTCATCTGCCCCCACCTGCCACTCTTCCTGTGCTCTGTTCTGAGCAGGTGACCTCCTCCTCTTCCCACCTACTCTTTGCTCATTTCTAAACCCTTGAGGAACTGAGCAATGTCTCCGCTGTGTGACTCTTGCCAACGTCAACAGTAAATCGCCTACGTACTTAGGTGTACTTGTCTCCTGGTTTTCAGCTGTAGCGGTTCACGTTAGTCACCGGGGAGGGATGTGCTGTGTACAGGTATCACTGGTGACATACTGGCGCAATCTCTCTGAAGGGTGAATCAGGTCTGCATGGCAGAGAAATTGTGCTCAGAGAGCAAAGCAAAATAGGATAGCTGGACTATTTGTTTAAATGAAAGAATTTTCATCCAATCTTCCGAAAATCTTTCATTCAAGAAATACATCTACCTGAGTTACCAGTGTAACCGGGCCTGTGTAGGTGGATCAGACAGCCCAGAATGGAGCTACTGAGGACTTCATGGCATTAGGGTACAGACCCCTGAGACCCCTGAGCACAGCCAGCCAGCAATTCTATCTCCTCATCTCCCCATATTCCTTTGTGCCCCATCCCTAGAGCCTTCTCTAGATCTCAGAACCAGTGCAGTTCATCCAGCTACCTCCTAAGTGGTTCCTGCTCCCCCTTGAATCTGTTCTCCACGTTGCATAGTCAGCAGTGTGAAACCCAGAAACGGTGATTCCCCGTCGCCCTCTGAATCAGTCCAGACTCCTTAGACAAGGATACACAAGGACCGACTTCATAATCGGTGAGCCCTTCTGATTGGCTCAGCCTTGTTACTCATAGCTCCCTCAGGCTCTGAGCCTGTCACCCTTCCTGTGGGTCCCTTCTCCATCAATGATGAAACCTTTCCCAGAAGCTCCCCATAAACCTCTTGGGAATCTCCCTTGCTGGAACTGGGTCTCATGCCCACTCCTAAACCTATCACTGGCAAGGATCCTCAAGATCGGGGTAGCTCTCAGGATTCACTTGGAGTCATTTGGATTGGTACTGACACCTGAACCAAATGGAGGCTCTGCCAACAGGAGGGAGAAGCCACTCTGGCGTTGGTCCCTGGAACAGGTGCCCTCTGGTACAGGGAGGCTGCCACGTAGGCCTCTAGCAGGTCCCTGGAACAGGTGCCCTCTGGTACAGGGAGGTCGCCATGCAGGGCCATTGAACACCTTCTGGTGTTGGAGCTGCTGAAGGAGTGGGACAGGGGCTGCATGGATTGCTGTCAGCTTTCCAGTTCTTAGTGCCGAGGATATTCCTTTTTTTCCAGTGATTTTCCTTTTTCCCTTAAACTAGTTTGATGAGCTTCCTTTTCTTGCAACAAACGGATCCTAAGAGAATCCCTCTGAAGCTTTTGCAAGCAGCCAAGAAGCAGTGCCAGAGGCCAGGCACAGATGCCTCAACACTCTGACTAACTAACTGCACTGAAACCCGCAGCGAGTGGGGGGCGGGGAGCATGTGCCTAGGGTTCCAAGGAAACCCATTCACCCCTAGCATAAATAAATGACAGCAATAGAGCCAACATTCATCCAGTGCTAGGCACTATTCTACACAATGCACACGTACTGTCTCATTTAATCATCCCTGTAACCACACGAGGGGACTTCTATCTCCTTACGAACCCACTTTATGCTTTAGTTCCCCCATTTTTACAGCTGAGACACAGAAAGGCTAAGTGATTTGCTCAAGCTTACCCAGACAGTAAGTGACGGGGTCTGCCTCTGAACCCAGGCTGCCTTGAGTCTGTGCTCTCACACTCTTATTCCATCTGGTCCTCAGGCTAATGGTGCATGTGATGTTCTTCGGGACTCTTTGATCCACGTTCAGACCGTAGGAGATGAACCTGGAGACAGAAGTTCGGCTTCCCCTGGCTGAGAGGTGCCCTAAAGGAGGAGCATGATGGCGTCCTCCGCTGCGGCTAGGTCCTTTTCCTCCACACATCTGTTGGAGTGGGGAATATTTAGTGATACTGAGGTAAATTATCTTTTGTTTTTTTCTCCCCTTTGGCTCTTTCAGACTGTGACCCTTAATTTGGGGAGGGCTGTGTCAGCAGAAAAGCAGAGATAACCTTTTATCAGTTTCAGGAACTCTGACTTTGGGGTTGCAAGAAAGAACCTGTGCTTGGGGTTTCAAAAGAGGGAGCCCTGGAGGCTTCTGGGCATTAAGTTTATGTCATTAACAAAAGCTCTAGAGACCAAGCAAGATCCAGGAGTCATTTCCCCTGACCCAGATGAGGTCAAGTGTCACTGGGCCGGGGGTCCAGGTGGAAGGACAGAGGAGTGTGGAAGAGCCATGATAATGTGGGTCTCCAGAGAGGTGAGTGGTGGCCAGCACAGTGGCCCTGTTGCTGGTTTTGTGAGTGTGGGTTGGGGGCAAGCCCAGAAGGACATCTGTCCTCACCCAGTGTGGCACAGGAAGGGATAGAGACAAGGAGTGGTTGGCAGGGGCCTGACACAGCCTTTCAGAGGCTTGCCAGGCCCTGCCAGTGTCTGCCAATGGCTCCCAGATGCCCAAGAGGAAAGCAGAAGCTGAGAGAAGAAAGAGGGAAAAGATGAGCACAAAGGAGGCTTCGGGGAGGTCTAGGTGGCCATGTCTGCATCTGGAAGGCAGGAATGAGGCCATCTCGGCAGGTGCCCGAGAAGACCAGATTGCCGCTGCCCCATGCCCAGGTCTTGGCACTTTCTGAGCTTCCCCCAGCCAAAAAACAAATATAGACATGACCCAGAACAAGAGGCAGGGAGAATCTGATTAGTTATGATTAAGTTTGTTCACCAAGGGGAACAGGGACTTGAAATAGAAATTAAGCCTCATTTTGAAAACTGAAGTTCTGTTTCTCCCACACTTCACAGTGTGGACTAAATGTCCTAACCACTTTCCAGCTACTCCTCAAAACGCTTCGCATGTTCAGCTCTGCTGCCTTGCACGTGTGTGCACGAAGGGAGGTTAACAAGGCTCTTAGGGAAAACAGATGAAGAGGGCGTGGGGCAGAGATATGAGACTCCTGCACCTTCTGCGTCTTCTTTTAGGCAGCCTGCCAGTCCCTGTCTTCTCCCATTCACGCTGTCCTTGCTCCCTCACCTCCTGCAGAAAAGCCTCCCAGCATTGACACAGTGGAGGTGATAGTCTTCGTACCTGCATCAGCTCCTGCTCTCATCATACTTGTCATGCAAATCATTGCGTCTACTTGGGGGAAGTTCAATATTACGCTGTGTTGTCTGGGTAGCTGTTGTCTTTGTGACTCAGGCCAGAGTTTTGCAACCTGGGCACTGTTGGCATTTGGACAGGATAATTATTTCTTGTGGGGCTGTTTGGGGCACTGTAGGATGTTAACAGCCTCTCTGAACCTCTGCCTACTAGATGGCAGTTGCACCATCCCTCTTGAGTTGTGATAGCCAAAAATGACTCTAGACATTGTCCAATGTCCTTTGGGGATGGGGGACACCTCCAGTTAGGAACAACTGCTTAAATCATTGCACACACTATCCCCCAGCATAGGCTTTTTGCTGTGAAGTTGATATCAACGAGGAGGGACCCCAAATACAATCAGAAAAGCCACAGGCTGGAAGTCAGAAGACTGGGTTCAAGTCCTAATTCTGTTACATCCTATGTGAACTTAAGCAAGTCATATAGCCTCTCTGAGCCCCCTTTCCCATATGTGTATTGAGGCTAATAGGTGAGGAGAGAAATTTTAGCTTGCTGGTTCACTGCCGTATCCCCAATACCTGGAATAGTACATGGTGCCTAGTAAATGTTCAATAAAAATGTGGTGACTGACTGACTGCCTTCCCTCTCAGGACTTCTGCAGGGTTCCGATGAAAAAGTCTGCAAATTTCAATGACTGAGGGACCACAGAAAACACTGCATCTTGTCCAAACTCAGAACATAGCTGCCACTGGCTGACTTTTCAAATTAATTTTATAAAAACATATGGATTTATTGTACTCAAGTGCTGGAAACAACCCAAATGCCCTTCATTAGATGAATGGTCGAACCACAGTACATCCACACCATGGAATACTATACAGCAGTAAGAAGGAACAAATTATCCATGTAGACAACAACTTAGATGGATTTCAAGGGAATCATGTTGAGTCAAAAAGGCCAGTCTCAAAAGGTTACATATGATATGATTCCATTTACATAATGTTCTTGAAATCACCAAATTATAGAGATGAGACATTGCCAGGGATTGGGTATGAGGAGGGGGGATGGGAGCGGCTATCATGGGGCAGCATGAGAGCTTGTGGGGATAGGAGGTGCTGGTTATGTGAATCTACACAAGTGATAAAACTGCATAGTACTACACATGTACACAGACATGCACACAAATAAATACATGAGAAGCATGAAATCTGAATAAGTTCCGTGGACTGTACCAATGTCAATTTCCTGCTGTTATACTGTACAATAGTTATGCAAGACATTACCGGTGCGAAGGGCCGCATAACAACACACAAGACCTCCCTGTACACTTTTTTGTTGCAGTTTCCTGTGAATCTATTATTAGCTCAAAATAAAGATTTAACCCAAATAATACATACATAAAGAAATACATAGGGACATAAGGGAAAATAGAATTCTCAAAAGCACGGGCATCACAGAAATAGTTAATTTCCCCCAAATCAGCAGAGGAGGTGCAAGACTCAGACCACAAACTCAAACTGGCAGGAAACATAAGTACTTTTCCATGACTCAACCGAATTTATCTTACAAGCTCCTATTCTGCCAGGTGTTAGAAATGTTCTCCCCCTCCCCCTTTTGCTGGGGTTGCATATAATTTCTGAAGACTTCTGTCATGCCAGAGTCCCCCAGGAACACATCTGGTGCAGAGGCCATCCTTCCATATTCCCAGACTGGCTGCTGGCTGCTGGTCCCTGTGAGTCCATGCGGAGCCATCCCTCACCCCAACACCCATGCTGTGCTGAGCTGGGGAAAAACCTGGCAAAACAAGCCACTACCTGGCATCCTCTGATTCATAGCAGTCCATAGGTATGTTTTATTTGGCCCACATAATATTTTAAACAATTAGTTGCCAATATTTGAAATGGGAATTTTCACATAAGAATCTAGATATCTGTAGCAGATTGCTCTGGGAAAATGTCCCAATGGGGCAGCAATCCACTAAACCCCATTGTGTAGTGGCATCCCCTTTAGACCAGGCATGCATGCCCCCTTGGTGTTTTGCCACAGTCCCTACCATTTTCTATTATCATCAGGCCTGGATTCCCTCATTTATGAAATCTGTCTGGTCCATAGAGACACTTGAGTTGGTACTCAATCTTTCCTACTGTGTCACTTTTGGGTCCCCAGGGGCCATTTTTATCCTGCTCCGTGCCAGGGTGCAGGGAAACATTGTGGTGCTGTCTCAGTCCCATCTGCCTGGATATATTACATGGCCACGCAGCCTAGGGTCTTGCTACCCCCTGGCTCCACACGGGAAAGGGACACAATGGGACACAGCCCAGGGACCTCGTTCTCCATTTCCCTCACTTCCTTTCAGGCCTTCCCTCCTCCTCCTGACCTAGCACACTTTATTTTGTCCTAAGGGGCAGGAAGCCTCACTAGTCTAACATCTGTGTTGTCATCCTTACTTCGAATAAATCCATTCTATTGTCTATACACACCAGTCCTCTCTATTTGCCCTAATTTCCTAGGCTTTCAAAATTCAAAAGCCAGGACTGTTCTGTTCTCTGTTTTCGCTGTGTCATCCCTTCCTGGAGGCATATGATAACAGCTGCCTGAATATGGGGAGTGGAGCTCTTGAAGCAATAAGAAAAACTGAGAACAAAAAACATCAGTTAATTTTAAATGTCACCCCTCATCATCTTTATACATGCCAGGTGCTATGCTAAGCTGTTTACATGCATTATCTCATTTCTAGCTCAAATTGGAAACAAGGCTAAGAGAGAGGGAGTTTTTGCCCAAAGTCAACAGCTAGTGAGGATAGAGCTGGGACTTGAACACACAGCCTAGCCTCTTAGATACCCGGTCCCCCTAAAAGCCTCGCTTTATTTCAGCACCACCCTTTTTGCTTCCGGCACTCCAGGTGCTTTCTGCGTAGGCCAGGGGCCAGTCACAATCTTTACCTGAGTGAAAATAAAAGGCCATTGGTCAAACTTTTCCTAAGGCCCTCCCACTCCCCAGCTGATTGGCAGCGTGGATGTGACGGACAGGGTTCTGACGCTTGACCTCCGCAGGCCACTTTAACAGCAGCGTGAGATCCAGACGACCACGACAGAAGGACCCCCCTGGAGAAGAGCAGGAATAAAAATGGAAGGACGAAACCAGACGTGGCGTCTGTCGGCAAGTCCAGTTACAGGAAAAGGTGAATATTGGCTGTGTCTTCATTTGTAAATCAGCAGCCCGCCCTGCAAGCTGGGCAAAACCATTTCTCCGAAAATCCGGTTATAATGCACAACCTAGAGAGTTGCCCTGGGTTTTCTGCCCAGCTCTCTGCAGTTTCCCCCTTTGTAACCTTGGCTGCTTCAAGTCCAAGAGCCCTGCTAGCAACCGAAAGGTTGTTAGTCACTGGGGCCCCGGGAGAACTGTTCTCTCTAAGCCCTTGGGCACGAAGGCATTCCTTCCTCACCCTTGGTAAGCAGGAGCACCCGATAAGCCATCTGTCCTGCCAGGCCTCTGCCCACGCAGGGGCTCGGCCCTGGGGCTCTCTTCAGCCAGGAGGCTGGACGTCAGCGCAGTCCTGGAAGAAGACAGACCCACCCCATGCCTTGAGCTGTCTCAGGGGTAGCCCCTGGCCCACACAGCTTCTAGACCTGGTCTGGACGACACCACTGAGCTAAATGGCTCTATGTTTGGCCAGAAAGGGGAAAGGTTTTTTTGTTTTCTAGTTCAATCTAATTCAAAGTTTAAAAATTTGAATTAATCGAGCTTGTGATATTTTTCCTGTGAAAAACGTACCCATTTCTTCCACCTTCTATTGCCTTTTAGCTAATACCAGGTACCATTCATAGTGCCAGCACTCATATTTACAGTTGGGGATACAGGAGGTAGGTAGTCTACCTTGGTGCTTAAGCTCATGGCCCTACAGCTGAGCGGCCCTGCTGAGCGGCCCTGCTGCACTCTGGCTCTGCCCGTACTGACTGCAGCTCCTTGGGTGAGTCATTTAAACTGGAGCCTCAGCTTCCTCATCTGTAAAATGGGCTTAGTAATAGTCTTGACCATGTGGATGTCAATGAAATGCAGCAAGGAACGCCTGGCTCATGACAAGTTGCTCTGTAAAAGGAGACTATTAATATTAATTATTATTATTCTTGGAGAAAAACTCCCAATGTAAATGGAACACTCTGGGCCAGGAAGTGGGTAGGGTGAAGGGGCCACTGCTCTTGAGTCAGGCGTCACTGGTCACACACTTATGATTTGAGTGCCAAGGACATAGTGCTGGCAGCTGAATTTGACTCTGCAGTGTTTTGACTGGCACCAGAGACCCAACTGTGGGTGTTGAGAGAGCCGTAAAGGGCAGGAGGAGATGCCAGCCTGGGATTTCCTCTTCATCTCACTGGGGATCATGGAACCACTGGTGGGGGGCAAAGCCTGGGAAAATGGGGCCCACTCACTGACCTTGACTTTCAGGAAGGGGGTGGGAGGCGGGGAGGCTTCAGAGGGGGATAGATAGCAGCCTGGAGCCAGAAGCAGCTGTGTCCACATTCCCTAGGCACCTGGGGCCCTGCCTGCTCAGAAGGGGGAACCCTAACCCTAAGGCCAGATGTGCGAGCTCTGAGTTAGTGACCTCACAGGCTGCCAGGGAGGTGGGAACTGCCTCTCAGTCCCATGGAAATCCCCTGTCCTGGAACTCTCCTCTGGTTCCAGACCTTTTTTATTTATTTCCATTTCTTCTTTTTTATTGAGGCATAATTTCTATCCAGTGAGGGACAAAGGTGGACAGCTTGATGAGATTTTATCTTTGCACAGACCCATGTAGCCACTACCCAGATCAAAATCTAGAGCATTTCCAGGACCCAGGAAGCCTGCCTCATACCATTTCCCAGTCAAGACTCCCCACAGTGAGCCCAGTTCTAAACTTCAGCCCTATGAATTCCTTTTGCCTATTTTTGAATTTCAAATAAACAGCAACATACAGCATGTACCTTTTCACATCTTACTTCTTTCATTCAACGTCGTGTTGGGGAGACCCATGTGGAGCTGTTTATATATCTGGACTTGCTCCTCTGTGATATTCTGCTGTATGAATGCACCATGATTTATGTTTTCATTCTCCTGTTAATGGACTTCAGGTTTTTTCTAGTTTGGAACTATTATGAATAAAGCATCTAAGAACATTGTGCATCTGGCTTTTGGGGCACAGAAGCTCTCGCTTCCATCAGGTGCACATCCTGGAGTGGTTCCAGACCTTTTAGATGTTCTATTTGAAAATCCTCCAAGATAGGGGGCAGGGGAACTAGTGTGTATCTCTCCCCTCCACTCCCCTGAGTTGCTGCCTCAGGGTTGTAGGTGTGAGAATCTAAGAAGCGGAATGGGGACAGGGCACCGCACCCCAGCAGCCACATTCAGAAGATGTGAAACGATGTTGGCTACTTGCCGACAGCACTTCCCCTTTCAAACAAGTTATTTGACCTTCTGCTGGCAATGTGTGTGCTTGAGAGATTTTCTGAATCCTGGAAGAAAGTTCCCCTCCTTCTCCTCCTCATGGTGCCTGTTGAAGTCCTGGACATCTGGTAGACCTCAGAGATGATCAAATCTACTCATCAGTTTACAGGTAGGGGAACTGATGCCCAGAGCAGTGACTTGCCTGGAGCCTCCCAGCTGGTAATTGGCAGCGCTGGGAACTCAGAGTCCTGGCCTCTAGTGGCCCTCTCCTTACACAGGAAGGGAAGGAGTGTATTCATTTATCTTCCCCAGTGCTATTGGGCTAAATTGGGACAGTCGTTGCAACAGTGTAGTCTTCTAGGAATCATCTTTCTATTGGACATGCGATTCTACATTTACTCTGTTCAACATTCAATAAATAAACTGTATTGTTCACCTACTATGTGCCCGGTCCTGTTCCCGTCTCTGGGTTACAGCTGGCATCAAGCAGATTAGCATGCCTACCCTCCTATAACCTGCATTCTCTCAGGGAGGAAGGCCAATAAACCCTTAAGTAAAGTGGAATAAGTTGGATAAAGGTACGTTCTATAGAATAGAACAAAACAGGAGGGAGGATGGGAAGTGTTGGAGGCTTTGGAGATGGGGGGGCCTGGATTTTTGAAGAGTGATCAGAGAAAGTGACAGAGAAGCCCTGAAGGAGCTGAAGAAGTGTTGTGGAGAGGGGTGGGGGCGATGGGATGGGGAGAGGGTTCTGCGCAGAAGATCTGTAAGCCCCATGGCCCTGAACCAAGAGCCTGCCTGGGGTGTCCGGGGGACAATGAGAAGGAAGGTTTGGCTGGGTAGGGGAGGGGAGGTCGGAGACGTGAGGGGGTGGAGGGTATCTGCAAGGCCACACCGGTTACCGCAGGGACTTTGGCCTGGACTCAGATATGCGGAGACCAGAGACCTGACCCAGTCTTTCTAAGAGGAGCCAGCTGCTGCATGGAGAATGAACAGGGACAAGGACAGAATCAGTGAGGCCGTTTAAGAGGCCGTGACAATAACCCAGTGACAGAGGACGGGGCTCGGCCAGGAGGAGACAGTAGAGGGAGACATGCCCTGGTGGTGTTCTGAAGGCAGGACTTCCTAGCATGAAGGGCCACCTTACATGCAAAGCAGATGTGCTCAGCAAAGTGGGCCATTGAGTTTCAGGTGCAAGGTCTTTCTCCTTCTAGAACCCTCCTTGAGGCTCCCTTCCCCAAATCAGCCAGAGAAAGTCCTCCTCCAACACAGGACTGAGCCCATCAATTGAGTAAATGTGTGAGCATGTTAGCATGTGTGTGTGTGTGTCCAGGGCAAGGGAGGTCACTTTGGTTCACCTGTCCCTTTATCTGCTCCTCCGCTTTCTCTTTTCTCCAGGAGGCATTTTGATAAAGCTTTAACTGTTCATCAGACCTGCAAACACCTGCACGATCCCACCCGGTGGTCCTTGACTCTGCTCCAGCCCCACTTGACCTTCCAAGCCTTTCCACCTCCAGGCCTTTGTACTTACTGTTGATCCTGCTCCTTGAGTGGTTCTCTTCCTCACTGTTCAGATGCCCCCTCACATGTCACCTCCCTACTGGAAATCAGTCACCCCAGGTTTTCTCTGCTTTCTGCTTAACACCACAAATTGTGATGATTTATTTATTTGTTTACTTATTGGTGGTCCCTTGCCTTACTCTGTAAGGCATTTCAAGAGCAGGGAGTGAGTTGCTCTCATTTACTGTCTGTTCCTTAAGTACCAGGCTTAGTATCTAGAGGGACAGAGTGGTAGGGAAGTGTGGCAGAGTCTCTTGAGATGGCTGGGGGACCCCTACTTCCTACTCTTAATGCCTTGGGGCATTCCCCTCCCACACTGCTTAGGGTGGGCCCTGTGTGACCAACGGAGTGTGAGGCGACAGCATGTGCCTTCCATGGCACGTATGTGTATACAACTGACCCTTGAACACACGGGGTTGAACTGTACAGGTCCACTTTTATGCAGATTATTTTCAATAAGTATATTGGAAAACTTTTTGGAGATTTGCAACAATTTGAAAAAAAATTTTCTTTTCTCTAGCTTACTTTACTGTAGGACTAGAGTGGACAATACATATGACATACAAAATATGTATTTATGTTATCAGTAAAGCTTCCTGTAAGGCTTCTGGTCAACATAGGCTATTAGTTGTTATGTTTTGGGGGAGTCAAAAGTTACGTGGCAGATTTTCAACTGCATGGGGGTTAGGTCAGCACCCCTAACTCCCACATTGTTCAAGGGTCAACTGTATGTTTTATCTCTGTCTATATAATATATATGAAAGCTTTTAAGGGATGTTTTCTCTCTTCTTTCCTCCATCTCCTCTTTATTGTTTATCTGAAATTCTAATTTAATTGGGCATTAAATTTTCCTTTTTTTTGCCAGTCAACCCTGAGCATGCTACATCTTTTCAGAGCCTTAGTGTGGTCACTTCTGTGTGACAGTTGGTCTTAGTGTCAACTTGGCCAGCTCCATCCCCCACAGTTATTCTACCTAATGCTAATTTAGGTGCTGCTGCAAAAGCATTTTATAGATATAATCAAAGTCTGTAATGATTGACTTTAAGTAGAGTATCCTAGATGATCTGGGTGGGGCGAATCTAATCACTTGAAAGGCCTTACTGCACAGCTGAGGCTTCCCGGAAGCAGAATCTCTACCTGTGGAGTCTGTGGACAGCTGCTTCATCCCCTGCCTTCCTGATGGCCTGCCCTGCAGATTTT